AAGTGGGTGGTTGTAAAGCTCTTACCACTTCTTCGAGTAATGCCACGTGGTGAGTCTGCCACTACCTCGTGCTTGGGGCACAAGCAATAGAGTTAGTTAGTATGAGGTTGCGTGTACCTTTCGAGGCGGCGTTGATCCTTGAAGTATACTCGGTTGGCTCGAAGTACGCTCCTACAGAAACCTTGGGTCGGAGTTGATGGTTATGGCGCCTGTTGATTACGCACACGATAACTGAAGGGCTGTGATAACTGAAAGGTTCGGTGGCGGCTCTTCTGAGAAGTGAGAGAGTGGTGGCTCGTCGCGTGCTTGCCTTGTATATCTTACTTAGCTTACTTACTTACTTAGCTGGTAACAAAGCATTGTTGTTGCTGTGCTGAAATCTTACACGATGCGCAGAAAGAAAACTCTAGAAGTTTCGAGAATTATAAGAAAAAACAACGTTTAAGAAATTTGAAGAATTCCAAGCGACGTTACTATTATTCCAAGATCATATATATATAAACTTTATAGTCCATTTGAAACCAAAATATACCAAACGAGTACTAGACAAATTCTCGTAGCCAAGTGTTTAGAGAAATTTGAGAGCTAGAGAGACTAGCGATGCCGATAGTCATTCGTCTTGGAAATTACTTCAATCCCGAAAAATGTCATTTAAACTCGTTATATTATATTTACACCTTCACGCGTTTATCAACTTATTTTTCAATCGAAACTCATCGCTATTTCTTATTCAAAATCATTAAACATAATGCATGAATTTAAATAATACAAAATATAAATATATATAATAATCTTCATCTATTTGGACTCGAATTGTTAATTTTATCTGTAATAATCCTCTGTCTATACAAAATTTTTATTGCGTAGTTTAATAAATTTATGTAATTGGGAGAAAATGAAATTGTGATATGAGTATCGTATGAATTCGTTACTCACACTAACAATGATTACATTGTTCAGGCGCACTCTGAAGAGTTTTGATTCGAGCTTCATAATGTGTATATGTCACTTTCTTTATTTCTCTTATCAAATTGTGTACTTCAACAATACATTGTATTGAAAATAATAAAAAATATAAGTTTAGTGTTAAACAAAATTTAGTTTAAATATTTAATTTACAGTAAATATTTTATTAGCAATTGTTGTAAAAATATCGACTCTTGACACTCGAGAAAATCAGCATTATATATCTTATTAGTAATGTCTCTATGTTATTCGCTGAATTATTCCACAAATAAATTCATTGATATTTTGATTTTTACCCTAATTTAATCATCACTCCTAAATTACATGATGGTAAAAGTTTATTCGACTTAAATTTCAAATATTATTCAACAATTACGACCACAATGACTATTTATAAAACATATTGTATTTGTATTTGGAACTTATTATAAATGCAGTATGCGCTAGAATTTCATTTCCTAATATTTGAATTTTTTAATATTGCTTGGTACTTTTGAAAGTAAGCTTTTACTTTAACGAGATCATTATTGAAGTTTTATTTATTTTTTTTTTTTTTTTTTCATCATTCCATCCAGATATTCGTCAACATTTTTTTATTTTATGTAAAGATCATACTGCATGGATATTACGTCGATTTAAAAATTAAACTATTCATCTTGTATTATATCAAAAGCTTATCTTCGTATTTTCTTATTAGATCGGAAAAATCATTTAAATCAACTCAACTACTACTAGCTCAATCATTTTTACGACTACGAAGAACATATACAATATATTGCTTTTTACGACTATTGCATTATTATCGACACTCGATCAATATATCCCGTAAAAATTACAATAAATTCGAATCAGATTTACACTGGCCACTTAAGATTGCACCATTCGCTTTTGCTACCTCATCAAAAACTAGCTTAACTAGCTTTCTAATTAATCATTTTGTGTAATAAACTATCCGTCCATGTCAGCCGTAAAATTTTATTTCTTTAAAAGGCCTATCTCTCATTATTTATCATTTGTCGACTCATTTTGTATAAGAAATATAATTTATCTTAAACTTTTAATTAGCTAATAATAAATTTAATTAATAACAATGGAGAAGGATAATAAGAATAAAATCAAATGGACAAAAGATATGAATATAACAGAAGGCGAAGAAATGTCAAACAATTGATGCAGTGGGTAAATATATAGACAAATATTTTTTAAATATTAATCGGAACAATGGCGAATGAAGTAAGATTTCTTTTGAAATCATCAATAGAAAATGCAACTAACGTAAAAATTGAGCAATTTAAGAATAGAAAGTAAATCAATAATCACATATATATAGATTACCATACATACATAATCTACATTGCGCAGTGGACGAAGTTAATAAAAGAAATTTTTTTAATATTTTTAATTAAATGGCCATAAATAATCGTATTAATCTTAAAACGATATTCCGAAAATTGAAAATATTAAATAGTATAAAATTATAAATTCCGTACTCTTCCTAATTTACTTCAATACAAATTATATCGATATATATATATATATATATATATGCGTATTGGTATGTGTCTGTTTAAATTTTAATTATGATATAATAAAAGTTACATATCTTTCGGTGAAAGATTTAAAATTTCTTTTCGTTTACAATTTTTTATATTCTTCTTAATTGAGTACACGTTGATTGTTTTATAAGCAAAACAGAAACAGACTCGAGTTTGAAGAAAACAGTAGTTCAGTTGAGTGGCAATTTGATTACACGAAATTCTCGCAATCACTATACTTTCACAATAATATTTTTGGAAATGAAATTAATTTGAAATTAACTAATAATTTGCATATTTAATACTTATAACAATAAAACAATTGTAAAATTGACAATGTAAACATATCCATATGTTCTATATATTCTTTTTATATATAAAATTGTATTTGCATATAAAATAATTATGAAATATTTATTTAATACAAAACTATTCTGACTTCTTATATCACATACAAAATTAGAAAATTATTGTATAATCATTTACAATAAATAATTATAATGATTTTTTATTCATTTAGTAAATCCTCTATCTCCTTAGTTTGATGATCTTCTAAAATACTATTAATAAATCTAATAGTATTTATGTTCATTAGATTTAAAACCTTATTACCATTATTTTTTAAATATCTAAATTAACAATTATTATTAATTAGTGACTATTATTGTTTATAATTGTACTTAATATAAATATAATTCTTATTTTTACGATCCTTATGCGCCTTCTTCAATATTAAAAAATAATTGATAAACTTCTTTTTATCGTTTAGTAGAGAATACAAATAGATATAATTAAATACTGATTTTATAATGAATATTTATTTTAATTTATTTTATTTTTTATAGCAATTATTGTAAATTATAGAAAAATTCGTATCTCGTAATTTTTGGTATTTTTATCAAATTAAATATCTTTGAAGCTAAAATAATTAATATTATTAACGTACATTGTAAAACGTTAAAAAATTTTAATTTTTTTATTTTGATAAAAATGCTTACGAAGCTTTATAAATGTAAATACAATAAATATACTTACGATTTTACGTAAAATATCGATAAAAATTGTAATTGTATAGCTTAAACATAAAATACGTAGAAATGAATAATCTTGAGCAATTTCAATTTACCGATATTTCTGATAATCATTTATGCATAATACAAAAAAAGTCGAATTCATTTACAAATTTACATAATAATAAAGACACACGGTGTCGATGAAAATGATTAGAGATGTAGCAGGAGAATTATACTATCTATTTTATAGATATTTTTACAAAATTTTGAAATAGATTAGAAGCATGAAATTACTAATCGCAAACATAAGACATCGCAACATAAAAAAAACTACATCGAAATATTTCATATTATTATATATATATATATATATATATATATATTATATAATTGTATCTATCAAATTGCATTATCTATAGTCATATTCTAACACTTTCAACCACATATGGTCGTACATTTTTAGTTTTATTCTTGTTCTGAAATAATAAGTACCTCGAGGCTTTCATTTTTAAAATACTCGCAAAAAATACTGTATTTTCGGATTTCCTAAATTACTAAATATAATATAACAAACCTATTTTATAAATTAACGTATTTTTTTAACAATGCATACTCGCGTCTATTGCTCACACATTTGATTATAAGGTTCAGTTATATTCAAATTTTTTCAGAATTTGCTAATAATAACACTTTTGATAGGCATAATGAATATAATAGAATATTATGAAGAATAGTTGTAGGCGAAAGGGCACAATATTTATTTCATGTATGTGACAAACCAAAATTAAACTGAAATGCTCCCGAGCACAGATAAATACAGATAAGTAATTCCAAAACTTTATATATTCTTTTGCAGTTTCGCAAGAGATTTGAAAAAATTTAAAAACAATTCTTTTTAATTATTATATATTATTATAGCAAATATACTGCTTTTATATACGCTTCATTGATAAATGCTAACATTTTTTTATTCTGGAAGATATTTCTTTGAAATACTTTTATCTGGATCTAAGGGTACATATAAAATTCTAATAATAAATACATTCTGACCGAATAAACAAATAAATAAACAAATAAATATCATTACAAAATATTTTTTTGAAAAGAAGAAAACTTGTAAAGTCATTAAATAATATCTCGCAAAAAATAACATTAGATGTGTATATACGCATATAAATAGTTAACTTGAATGGATAAATTAGAGCACAAATAATCGCACATTTGTATAAAGCAAATAAGAAATAGTCGTACAATAATATAACTTTAAAATAGTATTTGAAAAATAAGAATATTAAATAATTATTGATAGGTTTTAGAACTAATTCGTGTCAATATGTTTCAACCTCTTCATTTTATTTCAATACGATTATATAAAGACTACTACGAACTTGAAAAAACTCAATAAAATAAGTGAATATAATTATGTTAATTCTTTCAAATTCTTGTAAAAATATCAGAATGAATATTTTAATATTACCTGTGTTAGTAATAACATTATTTGTATTGCTCACTTACGGTAGTTAATTAAATATTTACGTAAAAATCATTTTAAAAGAAAGCATTTACAAACTTTATTATGAATTACTTTTTCTTTAGGTCAATACCAGGACCTTAAAATTTGCTTGCTACGTTGTAAAAGTAATAAAAATATTTACATTATAATTATATTAATGTTTATATTTTGTAAAATTTCGTTTAACACTTCGTATAATTTAATTTAATATTATATAATATTATTGCTGTCTAAGTAGGCAAAACTTTAACGCTTTTTAAACTTTAATCAATGTTCAGTTATCATAAATATGGTCGTTTCCTATCAGTAAAAAAGTTCTGAAATATTACTAAAAAAAAACTTGTACGTGTAGATACAATATATATATATATATATATATATATTTTTTTTTTTTAATAATTTACATTATTTTATATTTCAGGATATCCTCCACAACGAAAGGTAGTATGTGTGCATTACTGCAACTACAGATACGGAGAAATTAAATTTCCAGGATTTATTGACTAAGGAACTATTCTTTATATATTCAACATACAATGCGTAATTATTTTGTACTATTTCTAATATAATTCAACCATTCCAAATCGAATAAATATATATATTTTTCAGACGTGAATTAGTGGTTTTAGATTGAAATTTTAATTGCTTTAATGGATAATTGAACAGTGTGTAGTACGTGTACAATTTCAAGTAATTTTATATTATTTTTATATTCTAGAAGGTTTAGTTGAATTAATAAAATGTTATTGTAGTTAAAATATTTAAATAATTGAAAAAATAAATATTAATTTGAGTTGCATATGTTTTTAAATATATAGGAGCTCTTTTACACTATTTATTAATTATTATGCATTAAACCTTTTATATAACTATAAAAAAAAATTAAGGTAAGACCATAATAATATGCATGATCTATATAAAAATATATTAAATATTATATAAAAATTACGATCTTCAATAATCCAAACTTGATTTGTGATCATGAACTCTATTACTATATCACCATTTTTTTATGGAATTGCATTTACATTCATAACTTTATCTTAAAGCTAAAAGTTAAAATACTATTATACTATTATTACACCTAGTGTATTAACAACATAAAATAATATAAATAAATAATTGCAATACTTGTTATGATCATAGCATCAGTACATATTCTTATTTGACAATGCTTAATGGTATATGATATATATATATATATATATATATATATAATAGTTTAAATCATTTAAATTATATACAATATCTATATTTGTATAAATAATATTAATGTTATTAAAAACTGTAACGATCTGTTTCTATTCTAGAATTCCTGCAATATCAGTACTAAGATGTAAAACATGTAATGACGTTTCCAAAATGCTAAAAAGGAAATAAATTAATTATTTATTATTATATAACGATTTAGCCACAAAATTCCTTTATTAATCTTTATATAACTCGAATTATTAATGTGAGATGAAATTATCCTTAATAGATTTAAATTCATTTTATAATTTAAAATCAATAAATAAATAAAAATAAATAAAGTAAGACTGATTATTAAAAGAAACTTTTAATTATTTAGTGATGATAAGTTATATTCTACCATATCCATTTAAATAATTAAAATACATTTAAATATTTCATTTAAAAAACTGAAATATACTTGTAATATAAATTTTTGTTAAATTAGAAATATAAATATTGAATTAAGCTAGAAAAAAATGTTATTCATACAAGAAACGGCGTTGGATTTATTTTTAATCTTTGTTTTCCGTATAAATAAGCTCAACATTTTTTGTTCTTTCTACTTATCATTGGGAATTAAATCTTCTATTTGCCTATATTAAATTCAGATAAGAGGGAGAGTAAGAAGAGTAAGAACTGATAGTTAAGAAATTACGTTATAAAATATAATTTCTATAATAATTATTTTTATTGCCTTTGTAAAATATGTATGATTATATTTTCAGCCAAATTTTTAATAAAAATTTAACAAGCTTCTGCTCGACTTATTTTAAATTATCATTTTATGAAATCGTATTTATAATTATTTATAGTTAAAATATAATTACATGAACAAAGAAAGGGCTGATTTAATGATCATATCGTATAATCGTAATTATGTAAAAAAAGTCATCTAATTATTTTAATATAAGAATAAACTTTCTGTTTTAATGAATTTGTCATAAAAATAAAAATAAAATCAATAATTTAAAGAAATTGTAATTCTTCTATCCATTCAATATATCTATGATAAATATTCCAAATTCATTTAATAAAATTAATTTTCAAGAATTGCAAGCAATTGAAACAAAGCAAGTTTTTTAAATAATTAAATTATCTCATATTATTGATAATGAAATACAAAGTAAATAATGGTTGAAAACACTTGAATTTTATAAAATTTAAATAATTATATAAATGACTATATTAGAAGATTAAAACTATAATTTTTACGAATTATTCCAAGGTTAGTAGAAGAAATAAAATAATTTAATTCTATTAATTAGCTTATAACCAAAAAATACTGTCTGTATAAATAAGCTTTTCAACATTTTAGTATACCGATGTAAATAATTAGATCATATTATTTATATTTAAATTGATGTTTATTTTCAAAAAACAAAACAGAAAAAATTTGAATTCAATTTAAAAATAAATATTAATTCTAACGATAAGACGCATTTAATCATAAATTAATCTATAGATTTATAATTTTTTTTGTTTGTTTTGTTAGCATGGTGAAGTAAATCTTCCATTCAAATATGGATTATACTGAATAAATTATATCCATACATTAAGCTACAATTATCTATATCAAAAATACAATTGTTAATAATTCAAATCACTTTTTGTAATTTAAACAAAGTACTTACTATGCTCATTACTTACTATGCCATTATAGCAACGAATATGTATTAAGTGAAATCTAATAGTATTATTCCACGTCATTTATCTATTTCTTTTCCATTATATTGTGTAGATCTTTTATTCATATTATCATAAGTAATATACAATTTATATAATAATTTGTTTAAGAACATAAACAAAAAAATATTTAAAATTTTTCCATATGAATATATAACCATTTTAAATGTTTATGCCTTTATTACTTTAAGCAAGTATCTTCTGAAAATTATTAAGATACAATCTTAAATTTCTTAAAACAAAATTATAAAATAATATAAAAATGTTTATCTTAAAATTAATTACATTCATAATTGCAATATAAGTAATTTTACTTTAAAATACGTAATAAATATTAAATAATTATATATTTATAAACGTATTTATAAGCTTACTGATTAAATTTTTTACTGACATAGTTAAGGGCCTTTTAAAACATATAATAAAATATTATTTAAAAATATATCGTTCCTTATATAATATCTATAATTTTGCATTTAACTGATAATGTAAATGCCTATAAATTCAAGAAAATATTACATTTTTATTCAACTTTTACATTTATTAAATTTTACATTTTTATTAAATTTCGTGAATCGGGCTGCTACATTTAACAAGCATATATTGAATTTAAAAAAATCTACAATAATTAATTAATTAGAGTATATATAAGCACACATATATATTAAATGTAGATTTTATTAATATAATAGTCTACCTTTTTAGAATAATTAAGACTTGTTTCTAATTACTTTATTTTGAGTTTGTAATAATTTTATAGAAAGTCGTTAAACTTAATATATTGTCATATATACAAAAGAAACAAACATTAAAAGTTAACACCGTCAGCAGGATTCAAATACAAAAATATTAAAATAAAATTGAGAAAATAGCATACTAATAAAAGTTAAATAATAATAGCATATTATATTATATTAAAAATAGCATATTACATGTCAAATTCAGAACAATGTAATACAATCATTAATAAATAAAAGCAACTTTAAAAAAACTTTTTGATAATTATAATATGTGTGCATATTTTTTTATTCATTTTGTATGCATAACTTGTAAATCAATAATCATTGTTTAAAATCTATATATTATTTAATTTTTAATTTAATAAATAATGCATATAAAATATGATATATTGATTTAATAAAGTAAATTCAGGATATTTCCCAATTAGTTAAAGAAAAATATAAAACTATTACATTGACTGTAAACATTATCATTATATAATAATTACTTATACATAATGAAATTGTTTATACATTTAAATGTAAGTTTAAATGATCGAATGTGTGCGTTGTATAACCGAATTGAATACATAATTCAATTAGGAATTTTAAACAATATATTAAAATTATATATTTTTGAAAAATTATCGCAACATTAACAAGAAATATAATAATATAATAAGGAATAATATTACGAATATGGTAATAATTGATTCTGGCGAGATATTGAATTAAGTTATAGACTACACAAAAAAGATCAACAAAAAAATTTTTTTGAACACTTTTGAGCCTACACTAACAAATTTTTATACATTATTTACATTTAAAAAGAATGATAATTTTAAATGTAAAACTAAATTAAATAATAAATATTGAACTAAGTTGATAAAATAATATTTTAATAGTATGAAAATCGTATTAAATTTAATTTTCAACTTTATTGGTGTGTATGCTTTAAAATTTTTTATTTTATTTTTCGCCTGTCATAATGGATTAAACTTCTCTTTCATCTTTATTAATTTAAGATAAGATATTATAGAAAATTCATATACCAAATAATAATTCTTTGTATTTAAAATAATGAATAGTTTGAATTATATTTAATATCAGAAATATACTTCCAACAATAATAATTAATAGTCAAATAATAAACTGTACTTTAAATGAAACACGATTCTTTAATTACCCATTTATATTCGTCGTCTCTCTTCCTCGTGTGGATATATTACCTTTAATAATATTTTTATATGTCTTCTTAATATAAAAGCACAGCTATCCCTAAATTTTTTCATCAAATCATACCAACATGAATTTTATTACGTTAGCGTTGATAGTTATTATTAGCTTTGTCGTACTTGTACAAGGTAATTAAAAAAATATTAACGTACTTTTTTAAAAATATTTATACCTTTGTTAAATGTTATTTCACAGGTGGACCTGAGGATTTGAGAGTTTGCCTAATTGGCTGCAATAGTAAGAAATATATACTTTTATAGTACACATATTGAATATTGTCAATTAAGATCTGAATATTTATTCATTGTATCTATGAATTGAATAAATTTGAAGAAAAATATTTACTATTACATATATCTAGACACAATATAAATAATTAGACACGTTTCTATATATAATAATAACATTTTTTTATCCTTTCCTTATATAAAATAATAAAAGATAATTGGACGAGTTAAAATTATTAGATATACAGTTCATCATGGCTTAACATACACAATTTGAGAAAATACATCAACTAATTGTGTATTTTCAGTTGAATGTTAAAAAAAGTAATAAATAAATAAATTAGAGTATACATATAAAACTATTGATTTTATTGAATAAATAGTAAATGAAATATCACAAATTAAAAATGGCAAATAAGTTAATAGATATATTAGCTATATCCTTTCATTCTTATATCTTTCGAAATTACGACTGTTATCAAAAATTTCAACAAGATATTAAAATACGTATAAATAGTTGTAAAACTCACGTTTTCCACAGATTCAATTTCAATATTAAGCACAATATATATATATATATATATATATATATATATATATATATATATATTATAGTCATTTGATTTGTATTAAAAAAGTTTTCAAACAACGATGAAATAAATAATTCCTCTGGATTATGTTTTATAAATAATACGCATTATATTAAATTTTAGAATATCCTCCACAACGGAAGACAAAATGCATACATTACTGCAACTATAGATTTGCTGAACCTGTTAAATTCCATGAATGAATTGACTAAAAGACTTGTATTTTAGATTTAGCCTACAATTTGTAAGTTCAATTATTTCTGTTATTCTGAATATTTGTCTAAAAAGAGTAAATAAATATTCTTTTCAAAAGTTAATGATTGACAGTGATATGTAAAAATTGGAAAAATAAATGTAATGAAAAGAGAATAATTAATTTAATTTTAAATTAATTAAATCTGTTACATATCTATTTAAGTATGAGTGTCAGTTTCAATCAATACTTTTCAATGTGTATATTTCAAAATATTAATGCTCAAATTAAAATATTTAGAATAGATGCAGAATAAAAATAGTTTTTTAGTTGATAATATATGTTCATCTTGTTGGAATTGAAATCCTACATATATGTAAACATCTAAGAATTATCAAATGTTAAAATGTTACCACTCCTGTAATTTAACAGTCTAACGTGAATTCCAAAATATTATTATTGCACAAACTTAATTACAGCAATTATTTCGATATATTATTACAGTATAAGAATAAAAGTGCTATTTAAAAATTTATCATATAACTTATTCTAAATGTTTCGATATCATGAATTTTAATTTTTTAAATTCCAAAAAATATTCGATACAAAATACTAGATAAAATAGATGTAATTAATAAAATCAATTCAAAGCGGTTTTCGTTAACTCGAAGTGTTTAAATAATAAAATTGAGGAAATACCTCGAATATAAGTTAAAATTATACTTCGGTTTTACGTTTTATCATAATCAATGAATATTTATTATGCTACAAAAGTGGAGTAGTTAAGTAATACATAGTGTAATCACATTTAATACTTTATATCATTAAAAGCAATTGAATTAAATATGAAATACTAGAATCTAATAAATACTACGTTGTTTACTACATATAATATTCAATGTAATATTACTAAAACTAAATAATACAATGCTAAAATCATTAAATATAATCAGGAATGTACTTTATATATTGAAAATATAATCAAATTATAAACAAATAGAATCATCTGATTAGCTAATCTAAGTATTTGTAAATAATAAATACTCTTCATTTCCTTAATAATCATTATATAAAATTCTTTTATTTCCAGGATACGTTAAAACATCGATTCGTTAATGTTAGTTATCAAAATGTAAATAATGTTGTAATACTGTATTGTATTGATCATATGTTAATATACTTATGAATTTCAAAAATAAAATAAAAATTACTTTGTAATATATTGATTGTATAGTCAGAAATTATTTATAAAACGTTCATTATCCAAAATATTAATTTGCTGCAATTATCGTCAATAGTTTGAAAAATGTAATATAATAATAATATGAGATTATTAATATAAATAAAAGGACAATCGTTTAAACAAACTTTTGAACGTAATAGTACAAAAATTAAATTCTATTTTCTACATTTACACAGCAATATAATTTAAATAATAAAATCTTATTAAATTCAGTAATACATACTAAACATACACAACTATTAGTATTGAATATACAAATATACATAGTATAATACAGTATTGTTTTTTTTAATCATTGTTTGCTATGTTAATAGTCATAAGAAATCAATAAAGACTAATTTTACTTGTCATTATGAATTCAATTTATTATTCAACCACATTAAACTGCAGTTAAATAGTATGAAAATAAACGAAAAATATAATATTGAACAAAATAAGTCTTCAGTTATGAACTTGCGACATATGTACAGTATTTATATTGTTAATAAATTGTTTTAAATAGAACATATATTTCTATATTATTCAACATCATTACATTTATTATTTTCCACAAATCATGTGGAATTCAATTTTTCATTATATATTATCAGCAATAAGAATACAATTCAAAATATTCAAATAATAGAGGCATTAATAAGTAATTATTGAAACATTTTAAAGCTACTTCGTGTAAATACATTACCACTTATAATATTTATGTCTATATTTTTACTATAAGAAAGCAATTGCTTTAAAAAACTGAATCAAAACTGCAATTAAATAATAAGTATCAAGACGAAAGATTAATATTTATTTGTCTTTTAAAATAATAATATAAGAGTGAGATGAATTTTGTTACATTAGGTTGATAGTAATTACCAGCTTTGTCGTACTTGTGCAAGGTAATTAAAAAAAATATCAACGTACTTTTTTAAAAATATTTATACCTTTGTTAAATGTTATTTCACAGGTGGACCTGAGGATTTGAGAGTTTGCCTAATTGGCTGCAATAGTAAGAAATATATACATTTATAATACACTTTTAATACCGATAACATTTTAATATCAATATGCATTAAAAAATATTCATCGAAAATATTCATAAAAAGAGCTTTACTTGATTACTCGAGCTTTACTGCAACTTAAAGAATTATAAATTTATCATCATTTCTTTTCAAAATTTAAAATAATTTCACATAAAATAATAAAACAAAAGTAAAGAGAAAAACTGTATGGAATCGCAACTGGAATAGATAATACAAATATATTGATAAATGTACTAACTTTTTAATGAACGTAACGATTCATCTATGATTCTACTTGAATCAATTTCAAATTGAAATTAATATAACGCAATCCTATTACAATTTAATAGATAAAAAACAAATTAAAATTATGAATTAATTACAGAATACCCCGAATCAAGAAAAATAAAATGTAAAAATCAATGCAATTACCAATATGGCGAAACTCCAAAGTTCCCAAGTAAATAGAAGAAATAAAGAAATTGTGTTTAGTAATAATGTCGTAAGGCCACTCTTATGTATTACATAATTATAAATATCATTGTAATTAAATTGTTATATATAAAATAAAAGTTAGCTTGATTTTTTAGAAAAATTTTATTCATCGTAAACATGTATTTACAGTTTCGAGCTAAACATTAGATTAGATTACATGTTTCGTTTATCCTAAAAGTATTGTCTTTAAAAACAAATACGTAACTACGAAATATAATCATTTATGATTCAAGCAGCCTTTACATTTCCCTATTCCAGTCAATTATTTATTGTATTACATCGTGGATGCGTATAATTCAAATATAAGCATTGAAATTAGAAAAAAATATATAAAAGCTTAGCCAAGCTTTGACATCGAAAAGCCCTTGAAAATTATTGAATTCATTAATACGACCAGATTTTAACGTGTAAATTTTGTAAAGATAATTAAATTTCTAAGTCACGTATTACATTATGTTTTATGAAACGTGAGTCATCACGTTCCTATAACCTGATCACTTGTGTCTAAAAAGTAAATGCGTATTATTAAATCATTAAATCGCAATTATTTAACGCAGAACTAATTATAATAAAAGAGTTAAAATATAAATTTGAATTATATAAATAAATGAATGCTATATTTCATACAAATTTAACACATAATCTCGAATTTCGTGCGAGTTCATTTTCAATTAAATATTATATCTATTTGCGTATTATTATGCCGATAAAATGATTCTGAAATATTTTAAGTATTAATTAAAACGACTAATTACTATTAATAGGAATACATAATTATATTCTCTACGCTTTATAATATATAATAATTGATAAAATTGAAACAGGTGATAAAATGCACTCTGAATCAAAATTTTGTCTTTTAACTCATAGACGGCTAGCAAAATATTATTATTATAAGTAAGAAACTAACGAGTAACTAAATTTATTAAGCATTACACTTAGCATTCGATATCCGCACGAAATTTCTAAATCTTTATTAATCGCAGCTATTGTATGCGAAGAATTTCACCGACGTGTTAAAATTTGTAACGTTAAGTCTATTTTAATAATAATTATAACATGAGAAATAAAAATAAATGCCTTCGGTTTCTTTGATTATTATAAAATAAATTTATATTTCCTCTTTAACCATAAATGATCGACAAATAAGTATAGATAATTATTTGAAGAGTTACAATTTCATTAGAAAACTATTGTATGTTTAGACGTTTCTAGAATTTTCTTATTTATATAGCAATATAAAGTAAAATTTTGTTATTATTCATAGAATCGCTAAAAAAAAAAGAAATGTATTATTAACAAACTTTTGTTCAAATATAACATTTGCGTTATAAAAATAGTGTAAAATCAGGTATTATTTTTTTTTTAATAGTCTTAGCCCATTTTTTATTATTTTGGCTTATTATAACAGATTAGGTAATTCATATAATTATTTTATAGATATTATATATTACTAAATCTATAAGGCAATCATATTATTTTAAATTTAAAACATAAAGTAGTCGATGAATATATTCGTATGTTTAGATACTTTCTGCTTTGTTAATAAATTGGCCAATTTAATCAAGTTTAGTTAACATTTCTTCTCTCTACATCGTATAGTTCCACGTTTTAAAATATGTTATAAAAATAAAAAATACCATTTACGTAATAATATGTGAAAATTATAATAATCATAAATAATTATTGATCGATTTTAAAGCTATTTCGTGTAAATGAATGGCAGCATTTTTATCAGATTAAAGTAAGTTTTTTGGAAAAACATATCAAATGTTGAAATAAAATTTCTAACATTTATTTCTTTTCGAAACTAATATTAGAATAGAAATATGAATTTTTTTATCTTAGGATTGTTAACAATTACATGTTGTATAATGGTAATTGTGAAAGGTAATCGTAACATATTATTGTTGGTATAAAATAGTTCCATTTACTAAAATTTTCTGTCTACAGGTAGACCTCAAGAACTAAGAAATTGTTTAAAGCGCTGTAGAAGTAAGGAAATTATAGATCTTTTAATCTTTATAACTCATAATTCTATTAAATGCATTTAACACCTATTAAAAAGTAATATCTATAAAATGGTTATATTTTCTAAAATTAAAAATGATAAATATATTATAAATATAAGATTAGATATTTTTTATATATAGTTAATATGTATAACTATATGAAACTCTTTTTTTTTTTTTTGGAAATGTTGAACCTTATTTTTCAGTAATTATACACTTATAGTATTGTATTTTTATTAGTATTTAACAAGGCAGAAATCATGAAAAGTTTTGTTTGAGTTTTATATGCATTGTATAAGAAATGATTAAAAGCAACATTCTCCAATAACAAGTTCGACAGTCAAATAAAATAATCCTTATTATGTATAGCGTTAGAAACATATTGACTATCGACGCATGAAAATGTTTCAACGGGATAAATAAACAAGATATATCTATTCTTATCCTTTAATTTAATAATTAAGTTTATACATTTTTCGAATGACTGCAGATTATTTTACAATATTTATAGTTTGCTGTAATATTTCGAATAACGTTAAGTACAAAGGGAAATCATTCTCTTCGAAGCTGATATTTTGTATACATATGAACAATGTAAATTAAAAAAACCGTGTTTTGAAAAAAAAAAAGGTTAAAATCTATTTCATATAGATACCTTTTCAACTCTGAAATAATATTTAAAACTAAATTTTGTAAAAGTGCATTAAGCGACAAAAATTTATATAAATTAAATTACAATAATTAATTATAAAATTACTCAAAATTAAATAAGTTACAATATATAAGTACATACGGTCTCATTTAAAATTATTTTTGAAAATTATGTTTTAGAAACTTCTGAATATTCAGAATCAAGAAAACTAAAATGTAGCGATAAATGCATTGATCGATATTTCAGTTCACCAATATACCCGGGAAAATAGAAGAAATCAAGAAATTGTGTTTAGTATTAATGTTGTAAGGCCACTCTTATGTTATTATATGTAATTCTTAAAACTTAAAACTCTTATGTAATTATAAGTATCATTGTAATTAAATTGTTATATATAAAATAAAAGTTAGCTTGATTTTTTAGAAAAATTTTATTCATCGTAAACATGTATTTACAGTTTCGAGCTAAACATTAGATTTCCCTATTCCAGTCAATTATTTATTGTATTACATCGTGGATGCGTATAATTCAAATATAAGCCTTCAAATTAGAAAAAAATATATAAAAGCTTAGCCAAGCTTTGACATCGGATCAGTGTATCGTAATTTCTTTATTTCTTATTTGTAATAAAAACAATGGTTGGATTTAATATTTTTTAAAATAAATATTAATAAAATTTATAATCTTCCCGTTTGAATTTAATATTTGCGCACTTTTAACACCTTTAATAACAATTTTATTATATAATTGTTTTAATTAATATTTGATTACGCTTTATCAAAATATTGTCTTTTTAATAATCACAAATGTTCACAAATTCAATTTAGAATTTTGTGAAAAAATATCATAGAATATAAAGTAAAAGAAATTGTTAATTACTTTTAAAGCTCTGAAGTTCTGATTTGTTGTTTTACATATTGATGGTAAAATGAAGTAAAAATGAAATATCATTGGCTATCTCACCTACTAAACAAAGATTTAAAACCAAAGGTAAGATTTTTAAATATTGATATCTAGATACAAAATATTAAAGTCATAATGTTTCTTTTAAACAAGCATATATTGAAAAGATTTAAAAAATATTACTTTAATAATGAAAGACAGCTTTTTTAGCTACAAATCCAAAAACAAACAAACACGTACGTTACATAAATTAGCGTAAAAAATATTCCAACTAAGATCACGAATTTATCAGTTATTATACATATAACTTACAAGGTTATTTTACATGTGGATTTTCAAAATTAAAGAATATTCATTTTCAAACAATTTAAAATCCTTATCCATCAAGATTACAATCCTATCTTACGAGCTATATCTGTTTCAACTACAAACAAATTAAAGATTTTATTCTTTTGAAAGTATTTAAATTGTAGCTATTTTAAAAACCCAAGCTTCAAGGTTATTTTGTATTTTGTTTTGGTTTGAATTTACGTATATATTCACATTTAATTCTGTGAGTATTCGAATGACTGCATAAAAATAAATAAGAAATAGCTTTCTCTAAGATACGAGTTTACTATCCACGAAAATATAATTACTAGACAAAAAAAAAAAAAAAAAAAAAAAAAAAAAAAAAAAAAAAAAAGAAGAAGAAATAAACAGTTTTGTCGATTACTAGCAAGGAAGAAATTTTTGTACAGCTAAGTATTTATTATATTTCACTAAATTTTCACAAAAATTAAAATATTTAAAATTGACATTTTAATCTAGACCTTACGGTATTCAAAGTATATAAAAATTTTCAATAGCTGAAAAAATGATCAGAATTAAATTTATAAGCTTTCGAAAATAAATGTATATTAAGTAATATATAGATAATTAACATTTCGAGTAAAAGAATTCATTAATGATCTTATATCTGTCATTTTTGTGATTGGAACATAATGAAATTTCACAAGTGTTAAATAATTGAAGTGTACATGCCAAAAAAATCGCAAATATTACCGAACCTTATTTGTTCACATTGAACGAACCACCTGTGCCTTCACTGTATAATTAAATCTAAGAAAATATTAAAATTAAAAGTTTTTAATAGAAAATGTTGAAAATTTAAATGTTCAATTTACAAACAAAAGTTTCTATAAATTTATATTCACCAATCACACATTTCACCTTTATCAATATACTTAACATGTTATTTACTAAAATCTTGAAAAAAAAAAAAAAAAAACAATAAAATTCTATCTATAATCAATAGTAATTTCCAAATTTTTCTACAACATTCAAATTTTGTACATGTTTAATAAAATAAATAACGACAGACGATTTCAACTTATTTGATTTATTTAACCTTCGTCAAAACTTAAAATTTAAAGCATATGAAACCTATCATTGATTTAAATAAAAACAATGAAATAACATGTGATATAGTAAAAGCTTATTGTATAATACATATGATCATATATTGTTCCAATTTTTTCTCTCACTCTGTTATTTTGCATTCACGCTTTCATTAAAAAATTTTCCATATCTATTTGTGATGAAAGTTAAATTGCAACAATGTTCCACGAATCAAATTTAATTGGGGCAATTAGTCCTTACATTCAGAATATACAAGTTGTATTAACTTTATCTCCACGTTTCATTTTCAGCGAAAGCCTTCTGATTGTCGTCACTTTTATTTTGCACTTCAGTTTCCACATTAGTTTGAATGCGATTTCTCTTCCGCCTTCGTTTACCTGCGCACACAACGAGACACCACATTGAAATTAAATAATATTAGGATCAAGAGTGTAAAAATAATTTTCTTTTCTATATTTAATAATCGATGCAATTTAATTTATCACTTGGATAGAATATAGATTTTCTTAGCCTACATAAAGAGAATAAATTAAGTCTTATTTAAATAAATATTGTTTCTAACCAATTGTTTCATTCGTTCAACTAATTACTATTAATATTTATAAGATAAAAATAAATTCGCATTTTTTTAATAGAAAAATTTCAAGATAAGCACTGAATAATTTTATCAGAATTTAAATTGACTAAGTAATTACATTGGTTGCAGAAGGCTGTTGATTTGAAAAATTATTGATTGATATTTTAATTTTTAATTTTAAATAAGCATGTAAGTTATACGATATGTAAAAACTTATATAGTAAATAAATGCACACAATCAATGATAAAATAAAAATAATAATAAACACTACGGATGAGTAAAATCTTATATTATCAACTTAATTACATAGTGAAAAGGTATAATTTAGCTATCTAAAACTGATAATGTATTTTAAATATTTTTCAATACCTGTAGCAATATAAAAAAAGTTACATAAAGCAAATTTCGTACAAAATTTGTTTCATAGTACTGTTATGAAGAAGTCCTTTATTTAACATGTAAGAAAAATGTAAAATGCATTTTCTATATTTTCACTAATTATAATTAATAATTTCATAAACATTCTTAAATATTATTGAATTCATTAATACGACCAGATTTTAACGTGTAAATTTTGTAAAGATAATTAAATTTCTAAGTCACGTATTACATTATGTTTTATGAAACGTGAGTCATCACGTTCCTATAACCTGATCACTTGTGTCTAAAAAGTAAATGCGTATTATTAAATCATTAAATCGCAATTATTTAACGCAGAACTAATTATAATAAAAGAGTTAAAATATAAATTTGAATTATATAAATAAATGAATGCTATATTTCATACAAATTTAACACATAATCTCGAATTTCGTGCGAGTTCATTTTCAATTAAATATTATATCTATTTGCGTATTATTATGCCGATAAAATGATTCTGAAATATTTTAAGTATTAATTAAAACGACTAATTACTATTAATAGGAATACATAATTATATTCTCTACGCTTTATAATATATAATAATTGATAAAATTGAAACAGGTGATAAAATGCACTCTGAATCAAAATTTTGTCTTTTAACTCATAGACGGCTAGCAAAATATTATTATTATAAGTAAGAAACTAACGAGTAACTAAATTTATTAAGCATTACACTTAGCATTCGATATCCGCACGAAATTTCTAAATCTTTATTAATCGCAGCTATTATATATATATATATATATATATATATAAATATAAATATATATAACTTCGCCAATGAATTTTAATAAAGGCGCGAGGACGTATGCGCGTGCGCTGTTTTGTATTCTTGAATAATGTTTTGCATGAAAAACACAATTATGAAAGGCAACTGAATTTCAGTTAAGCTCACGTTCTTTATAAGCTCAACTACCACATTATCGATACACTTGAATAGGCGTGTCTCTCCCGCCATATATTCACAACACAGTGATAAAGTAAAATGCCAGCAGTATTCCGATGAGCCTTAGTGCGTTCATCCATGTGCAGCGCTTGAAGATTCCCGTGGCTGTAATCATCGCCGTTCTCTCTAACTTTCGCAGACTCACGGACTTCAACTCTTCGTCGTAGGTCCTTCTCCTCGTCCTTCGCTTGACCTGCGGGAAACTGTTCACTTTCCTCTTAGGGACACGCTTTATCCAATCACTGAATATCCCGTAGCAGCTCGATACGCCTTTCCAATTGACTCCCGGTGCTGCTGCATTTCTTTGCGCTTGATTGCCCGTCCGTCCACTCATTAATACGCACTCTTCACTTTTATTGTGTAGATTGATGAATTTTGAATGGTTATTACCTGATGCCACTTCCCAGCCATCCTCATCTGTATTCAACGTCGTGGATTTCGAACCGGTCGTTGTTGGCGGTGGCGAGGACTCTATTTTTGTGGGCGATTCGCAACTGTAAAATAAGAGAGGAAAGAATTAATCGTATCGAGAATGGAAGCTGCGCGAGCTTCATCATATTGTTATTAAATTGTCGCATTTCGAACGAGTCTCACTAATATGTAAAATATTATGTCTTCGTTAAAAATGTACTGTTTCCTTACCACGTTGTAAAAGAGTACAAAACCTAGTACGAATAACAGCATAAACATTAAATATTTCAATATTGCCAGATGGTGTTCACAATTAATTAATAAATTAAATATTCTAATCAAATGAAAAAAAAAAGTTTATTTATAATTGAGAATATAAATAAATACCTGCTGTACTAAAAACTCTATGTCCACAGAAGTATCAACGGAAATTTATGAAAAAAATATTAACGTGAGTATATTTTTCTTCAAAACAATTGTCTTTGTCATTAGTATCGATATTGTTGCTATAATCTAATTAAGTAAACCTCAATGTTACGCATTTATTATTATTGGATTTGCTAAGACATTTTATTTATACACTATGCTCAATATAACAAATAAAAAAATATATCTACTAATTTCTAATATACGTACTTATGAATATAACTGAATAGATACAAACAAACTGTTTGAATTGAAATTTATTACATTGAATAAAATTCTTTTTTATCGTTAACGATAAATTAATGTTCGGATTACTACTGGTAAATGAGCAGCCTATGTTTCATGAATTCATACAAGGAGACTTAACTTTTAAAAGTACTTATAAACTTGAATTTTCATCGACAATTTAAATAGATTTTATTAACAATAATGTCAAAACTGATACCAAAAGCCTCTTGAAAGCGATTCAATCGACAAAAAAATATCATTCTTGGGAATTGAATTGTTTATACATATGAATACTTTTAAAATTGCACAATAAAAAGGTACAATGTTTGTTAGCAAATTCATTATACTATCAGCAAAAACGTTAATTTTCAGTAATTACTTTATGAACAACCAAATACAAATTAACTTATTATAGATGTTCAAAAATTAGTTTCCTTACAGGTACTTTAAGGACATCTTTCTTAATCCTTTCTAGTTATTTAAAATCTCTTATTATGACTAAAACGTTTTATCGAACATACCTTTAATACGGTATAAATAGTTGCAAAAGTCAATGTAATGCAGTAAACTGGATGAAAAGTTTGCAAAATTTGTATTCAACTTTTTATACCAATTCGAGTTGAATTTAATTATGAGCATGCGATTGCACGATTTAAATTCACGCACAATTTATATTAGATATTCTAACAGAAAAGTTTCTACTATTAATACTTTCTTTTATATTAGTACTAATCTTTATTTGTTTAATACCATATATTTTTGAATATATTGAAAATGAAATAGAATAAAAAAACTTTTGTCAAACAAATATAAGCTTATTCGTATTCATTTTTATCGAGAATATTTCTTAAAAATGCAGCATAAGTTATTTTACACAAAGCCAAATTGGTATGTGCCATGTTAATGCTTAAACCAAATTAAATTAATATTTAAAAATTACTCCCAAATTGACTATTTTATACTGAAAAAAGTATGGAGGCTGTGATTGGTTGCTGAAAAATATGTCGTATCTTAAAAATTCCTGAAACATTAAAATATCAATTTTTATCTGAAAAATGTCCGAATATAAGCCACTGACTGTTTCAAAAAACTTTTATTCAATTATAATTATATTAAATAAACATATTTTATAGGATGCAAGAAAATTTTTTAAAATGTATAAGCAAATAAAATACAACTAAAGCAAGAGTATCAAGAACAACGAAAATAATAAGAAACAGTAGATTCTAGCATTTGTCATACTTTCAACAGTAATATTAAAAGAAAAGTATCTACTCGTAACTACTAAGCATAAAATATTAATAAAATGAAAATTTTTCATTAGTAAATTTATAATATAGCAAATTTATAGTATACGAAAAAACAATTAAAAAAACGTATTGATTTATTTTATTAGTGTTGAATATTGAAACGCATGCAAACAACAAAAGAACTATTCCTAAAGAAATAAATATCGAGATATAAAGAGTAATGTAGAAGTATTAAGTAAATTAAATTTAGTTTAAAATTTGATTTATTTCATTAATTACAAAAATTATAATAAAAAATACAATTAATTAGCATAAGTATAAGGACAAAATTGTAAATGGGTATGACAAAATTATACGTTTCTACTTATTAATAATGGTAAGTAAAGTATTGTAAAGTATTATTACAATTATGATAAATTATATTTCAAGCATTTCAACTTAAGTAATTCATTGTTTTTTAAAGTAAAAATGAATTAAAACCTCCAGTTACGAAAAATATCTACATATAAAAGAATAAATAATGTATTTCAAACAAATTATCTCTAGATTGCACAAATAATATTTTAACCAAAATATTAAAAAATATATATATTGTAATATATCTTTTTTATTTTTATTTCATTCATATTTTTTTAAGAAAATAACATTTGTATGAAAAAAATATAATGATAATTCTATATTGCAAAACTTAGTTCATATATGCGCTTTAAATAAACTAAATCATTAAGATAAAATGTATAATAATGATTATATTTGATATTTTATTTTAATTTATTAAACTGAATTGTTAATATTTCCTCGCTCATGTTAATCAGTTAAAAAATTATTACATTATACTGCTTTTCTTTAGAAAACATTTTTATTAGAACATAATTATTATAATATTTCTTTATATAACATTATAAATACCCACTATTTTGTATCAAATTTTTTTACAAAAGTTTTAAAAAAGTATTTTTTACACAAACTTAATCAAATTCAAAATTATTAAATATATAACATTGATTTGGATTATTGCAAAACACTTTATATGATAGATAAAACATTTCGTCTTAAATAAATGTCAATTAAACCTAATTTTTACTTAAATTATATATAAATTCATAAATATCAATCACAAAATTAGTTTTGCTCATTCAAGTTTTGTTAAGTATAAGTAAAAGTAAAAAAAAGTAAGATGTTAAAAATGTTGCTAATAAATACAAATATGAAATAAAAAATAATAAATAACAGATGAAATACTTTAGATAATTAATATGCCTTTTTTAATTTCTCGAAATAGATTAAATATTGAATAGCCAAAGTGTAATAGTTAATTAAAAATATTATCATAAACTAAATGATGAATATAAAGAAACATCTGAATTATGTTCGAACAAAAGTTTTGGTTAAGAAATTTATTACTGCATGAATATAATATCCAGAATATTCTGTTTTTAATAATAAGCAGAAATAATACTTATGAAACTAATTGAAAAAATATATTTAATTACATGTATATACATTATTTCTTTCATTGTTATAAAATAAAAATTACGTTTCACATTAAAAATATGTCTGTGCTTACAAACCATATAATTTCTGTTATAAAATATTTTTTGAAAAATGTTTTGACAATGTTTCTTTGGAAAAATGGACAATTTTAAGACATTCTTCTATGGAATTTTACTATTTAAGATCATAATTAAGCTTAGATGAATCAAAATCATAGTCATTTACGGCGATTTTACCTGAAAAAATAATAAAATATAATAATCAGCATGAAACCTTTATGTACAACTCAAAAAATATAATACTTTTATTATTTCTGTTAATGGCTATATTTAGAGCTCAAATGGGAAAAAATATTTGAAAATTATCTATCAAAAATTCCATTATCTGTGGTTACGATATTTTAAATTTACTTTTTTATTCTATTTATATTGTAATTTTTGTTGGTTTTTTTTTTCCCCCCATTATTATAATAAAAAGATTTTGGTGTTAACGATAACCAAATAATAGTTAAGAATACTTTAATCTTTCAACACTGGTAATACCATTTAATAAGAATAAAGTAAAAAAATATATATTTTTCTTTAGCAGCTTCTTTAGCACAATAAAGGCCTCATATTGAATTTTTTTTATTGACTAATTATATCATTAATAAAAATTATTTGAAATAACTATGATTTTCTCTCTAAGGTAGCAAATATATATTATGACTTCTTATTTTCAATTTGCAAATGCTATGAAATAAGAAATTCATAGCATTTTATCATTTGCTTATTCTAAATATGCTGATGAATTATGGCCTCCAAATATTATATATATGTGAGTGAGTCGGTATTATTAGAAAGTACAAATAAATCTAAATTAGAAACTATTTTATTGTTAAGAAAATATTCATGGTCCTGGAAATAAACTTTGAAATGATTAAAATTCCATTTTTGCCAATACATGCTATAAAAATGTACAATTTTAAAAAACAGCATAATCTACTAAATTTAAATTTAATTTAAATCTAATGTTATTGTTTTCAAAATCAAATATGTCAAAATGATGGGGTTCAAATATTGAATTTAAAACTATTTTCACTTAATAGCATAACGAAAGAGAAAAATATTTAACCGCATAGTAAAAGAGATTAAGTACAAATTCATCCATCGATACAATTTAGAGTTTTTATTTAATAGGGAACGAAAGAATAAATAATAAAGAATGAAAAAAAATTTTATTTTTATTTATTTAACCAACTGAGATATGACTTAGAGAATAGTTTAATGATAGTAATCATTAGACACCTAATATTAGGATTCTGAAGATTATGAAGCTTCGATGCCAAGATAAGAGATTTTATTATCATTCATCATTACATATCTTATCTATAACATGTACTTGTGTATTATATATACAATATGTGCATATGTATAAGCAAACTTTCGTATCATAGATTAAAGATTCATGTGTTTGATGAAGAGACGAAAACAAAAATAAAATGACAAGTTTTATACTAAAATACTATTTTATTAAACATTATCCATAAACCAATATCAACTAAGTTAAGCAATAAAAATAAATTCCAATGAGCAAATTCTTCAAGCAAATGAAATTATTAAAATTCACACAATAAATAGTCTATAGAGTATCGACTAGAGTTTGGAAAAAAATGTATACTATTTATTTTGTATAATTATTAATAACGAAGTGTGGAATAAATTAGTACATAACTCGTAGAAAAATATATGATGATGGTTATTTTGATCTTACATGACATCTTATTTTTAACGCTACAGCACATATGGTATAGATATATTCGAAATTATTTTGATAATTTGCTCCTAATTTAAATCAAGTTTTATTTTTATAATCATTATTTCAATATTGATTACATTATTATTAAGATTATTATATAACTTTGCTGCGTATGTCTACAATTTACAAATTTTACGCTATAATCAAAAGTATAATTTGTAAATCCTGCATTAAGTAAAAGGTAGCAGAAGGAAACATAAATGTTCGTTTAAAATTTTCATAAAGTAATGAAGCAAAAGTAAAAGAATAAAGTAATTGAGTCATTCGTAAGAAATAGAGTGTATAAGATGGTAATGGACCGACTCAATTATTTACCGACGCACACCTTATATTGTATGTAATAAAGTGTCGGCGTTAACTAATCGCGTAATTAAATTATTAAATCTTTAGGGTTCGCTTCGGTTAAATTCCTTCCGGCACGTACTCTATTGGCAATTAATTTTTTCGACTATCCACGAGTGTTTTTAATGTGCGACAGAACAACGGCTACCGTCACTTTTTATAATCACACGTGCAATGCAAGTAAAGCGAATATCTAACGTTTTGTGCTAAACTGGCGCTTGAAAAATCCGCACAAGGCAAAGACTCGCTGCAATGTATTTCAATTTAAAATCGATTAATCGCAAGAGGAATGAAATAACTTTACGTCTCGTTTACGTATAAGAGCAGGAAATTAAAATCTTACATCTCCTGTAATTAAAAGCTCTTTATATGAAACGAATTTAGAAACGAGAGATAATCCATTATTATGAATGCTTACATTATTTTTAACGAATAATTAAGTGTTTGTATATAAGCGTTTGTAATTTATATAAATGCACATGTACATTTATATGTATATCATCTGAGGAATAATAATTGATCGGCCTAAATTTTTCTAAAATCGTGATTTTTAGTTCATTATTAATTACTATTAATTATACAATTCATGCCATGACAAACATTATATTTTATTCATTTTCATTGATTTCTTTCATATTTATTACTTTACTCTTTATTGCAGTTATTTATTTATTCGATATATAATCAACTTTGTATAATTCTATATTAAATGAACATATTGTTTATAGTATTGAATGCCTTTATAATTAACAACATTGTTATACAATATCTTAAATTTAAATAAAAATTTTAAAATAAATACAAATACTATTATAATATTTTATAAATTCTATTATATAAATTCTATTTTATAAATTCTATTATATAAATTCTATTATATAAAACTATTATATAAATTCTATTATTAAAGTTATGATTTAATAAGTATTTTTGCCTTTTCTAATAATTATAAGTATAGTATATTATTTTAACGAGACTTACGTTATTATTGTAATATATAATTATGAATCGATATTTTAGAAAACAGACGAACCACTAAATTGAGTAATTCAAAGAAAAATAATTTAATATATGTCTATATAGATATATATTTCTTTTGAAATAAATGTTATAAAATACAGACAAGCATAAATATACAGTCAATAGTAAAGAATCTACGATTCTACGATAAATTTTTATTGCTCCAATATTAAATTCCAATACTAGGAATTCTAAAAATTTTAAAAGTAATAATAAGAGCTAAATAAACTTTATAACCAACTATGAGATGATAAATTTAGAATTATTAAATTATGCAGATTAATTTTATTTACTAAGAATAGAGTAATCTAATTGAAATGTTAGATACAATTAATACAATTAAAATTGATATGCTACTTACTCAGATATTTTTCGTTTTCGTTCTGGTTTCACTTGATGCTCACGTTCAAGATTTGCATGATGTTCTCTGTATTTTTTTATACTATAATGCTTATTATGCGGCTTAACAAGATCGTTCATAACAGCGCTAATCTGATCACGCCGATATAAGGCAACGTAAGCAGATTTATCCGTCAGCCATGAAACAAAAGCACCTCCTAGAGAAATATAGATAAAAACTACTATGTAAAAACTAACGATCGTGTACGTAAAATAGTGGCGTATAATGTTAATGTTACTAATGAGTCATTAAAACAACTAACACAACCCTATAACAAAATATAAAAGTTACAGGAAACATACAATGTACTGTAAATCAAATATTTGTTTATCAATTTAAAATTTCATTCAAAATTCAAGCATATAACATATATTTTAATTACCTAATATAATGAAACATAATATGAAATCAATACAGAGAAATTCAATTTCACCATCGAGACAAATAGAAAGATATTAAACTCACCATATGGGGTAAAGAGTTGTGAAAGATCACTGTATTTCCACTCTTTGGGAAAAGTTATATGGAAAACATGATCTCTACTTGGATTTGCTAAAATATAAATGTATCATTTGTCTCTGCTCTTATGTTTTTTCTTTAATTTACAAGATTTTTGGTAATGCAGGAACTTACGATCTTTTCCCGTAAGATTAATGTATGGATAGTCTTTTAGTCTTGTTATTAGTAATCTGTAAAGACATTCAGATAGAAATAAAATATTTAACATAAAGAGAACATTTTATACGAATTAAATATATAAATCTTACTTATTTAAGAATGGATTTAATAGCTGAGAATCTGCAAGTACTGTGGATACTTGTGGCCGCTGTAAGGAACCTGTAACGAATGGGCAATGTATTATAATTAAATAACTTTTAGACAGCGTGCAATCTTTTAAAATGTTAAATTAAATATTAACCAAGTCTGTTGGATAATGCGATGAAGCAAAGTCCAGTGATAAAAGCATCGTAACCAGCTTCGTGTGACTTATTATTCGATATTTTGTAACTCCGATCACTGACGTCTTCGGTCTCGGGTAATTCAAACGGCGAATTGTGCAAAGTTTCTAATAACTGATGAAGAACTGATGGTACCGAGTCTTTAAATTGTGCTGACTGACAAATAATTTTAGTGTCTAAAAGTCTAAAAACAAAATGAAACGTTAAATCGGAAATTTGTTAAATGTAAAATATATTTGTAAAATTCTCGAATAATTGTATAATGTTATTGTACGAACCGTGGGAAGAGACAATGTACAAGAGATTTAAACTTCAAATAACTTTCTGGTAATGAATCAAAAAACTGATTAATAATATGACACAAATCAAGGAGCATATTATGCCCAACAATTAGTTTGCCCTGAAAATTAATAATTTCTCAATTGTAATACAGATAAATCTATAAATTGTAGTAAAAATAATACAAACGTAATTAATATCTTACAGAGTTGGCAATTTTTTTTAAAAGTGCACTGAGTCCTACAGCTTCTTGTACTTCCAATTTTTGCTTTTCTCGTCGTTCAATTTCTCGTTGCTCTTCCTCCTCCTTGGTACCTATTTTATAAACAACAATGCACTGATTTGACTGATTGTCGTTCATAGTTTTGAGTCCAAATTTATTTGGCCATCTAAGTTTTACTTCTTGATATATAAGCCGTCTTATGAAAGAATTACATCTATCTATTATAATTTCTTTATCCTCTAAATTAATAAAATCTTTTATCCTGGAACTATAAAAAAGTAATGTCAATAAAATATGTGTGTGCGTGCGTGCGTGCGTGCGTGTGTATATATATATATATATATATACATACACACACATATATATATATATACAGATACAAATATGAATGATTCGATATAATTTTACTGTAATCAATTTTTAATAAATTTTTACCAAATCTCTTCAATTTGTGGTCTATCGTCATCAGAAATAGAAATAAGGTCGTAATTGTCTCTTATCTTTTGCTTCTCATCAAATTTCTTGTTTAACCAATTTTCATCATCTTTCTTTAAATAAGGTATTCCATATTTGAAAAGTTTGTTAAAATCGAAACCTTGATTAACTAAAAAATAAAGTTTGTTAAAATCGAACCCTTGATTAACTAAAAAATCTATACACGCCGCCTGACACAAAAATCTGCAATCGGGTGCCGATCGGTCGAAAGGTCGTGGAAACACATAAAAGTTATACGATCTTTGACTATATCTATATAAATATAAAAACAATATTGATTCATAGGAAATATCGATCGATTGCGACATACAAGGATAAAAGTAAATTACATACTTATTAGTTTCTGAATTATAAGTAAAAACGGATAGACCAAATTGAACCAGAAGGAAATCCATACAACCAGCTCTTAATTTGGCATAGTACTCTGATGGTGTATCGTAAGCACTGGTGTCCGATCCTAAATTCAGACCGGTAAATTCTCCGTCGATTGCCAAAAACGTGGCATCTTTCAACACATCGTCCAACTCGGTTAAAACTTCTTGGAAATCTAAAGCAACAAATATTACATTATAAGCGAGCAAATGTTTGAGCAAACGGTATCTTTATACATTCGACCAATCATTAAAAACATCTAATTCATATACTAGAAAGCAAAATCATAAAAATTCGCTTCAAAACAAGTCGGACAATTATTTCACAAAACTAACTTTACAAAGGCCGCTCTAGCTAAGCTAATAATGCATTTAAAACATAATGGAGATGATCGAGGACGATATTAACATTACAACAATATTCGTTCGTCTTAAAAGATCATCCAGCATTTCGAATTGTCTATTTATTTATTATAGCCTCGGTCGAAATTATTTCTGCATAAACACAAACGGTCACGCGAAACGATCCAATACATTGGGCTCTCGAGACAGCCAATGCCCTTGACTCGCAAACATGCAGGAAGTCGAGGTGAAGCGTAACGCCGAGTCCGGCAACTTTAACGATTACCCCAACTCGGCCCACGAGGTCAAAATCAGGGCCGCCCGCATAATCACGTGGCACGTGCTCGGGCAAGCGACTCGAGTAACCGCTCGCCTATCACACGTCTAACCCACATTCTAACCTCGTCACGCAGCTTCCGTGGGCGCGACGCTTCGCCGCTCCTTCCGTACCCTATCCTCTCGATGCCGCGTCTCGTAAATGGAAAATCTCCGGCGAAATAGTCACGATCTCGACTACTCGCTCGCAACCAGCCCAATATATCTAGGAGGAAATAATAAATTTGCCGAATCGTACTGGTGCGAGTTACTTCCATGACGGTTCCCTCCAAACTCTACGGTTCCTTTTTCCTTAGTTCAGTAGCTACTTCCTCCTCGATCTCAGATCGGTTATACAGCACCGTCCGGAAGACTCGTGATCATATCTCGGATGATGCCTCGCAGCTCGATTCTCGCCGTCGTCCTTGCCGTCGTTCGGTCGATTAAGTCACCACTCAAGCGGAACTTTTGTTTTACTTCTGAGAAATGGAGCTCGAGCTGGCTACTCGAACCAAAACGCGTAGGCCAAACAAGAGGAATAGCGCCCCCAAGCGCCCTCACGCGCCCCAACACTATTCCAACTTTCCTTGCTCCTGTCCGTGAACCTAGAACCTAAGCCCACGAGATCCTACGTACCCCCACTGATACGTCACGTGTCAATTGGTACGCGGCCTTTTTGCCAAAAGAAATTGCCGCCGCCTCACGGTCGACTTATGAATTCCTTATAGTAGGACGCGACGTTTCACCTTTTGGCCCCTCGCCGGTTTGCATCAGTCGGTTACGTCACGGGCGACTCGACAAGTGGCGCCACCGCGCGACACGAGGCCGCCCTTACGCACACCCAGCGCTGTTCATTTATCTAATTATTTATTTACTTATTTACTTGTTTACTTATTTGTTCGCTTATTAGAGTAATTCGATCGTTTGGCACCAACAAGCCGGGTAAAAGGAGGTACGTGTTAATTATAAATTACTTTAAATTCTGATCATTTAATGTGTCGAGTGAATGGAACGGCGATTGCGGCAGAACACTTACCAGCTTTTCAAATTCGAAATTTTTAAAATGTTGCGCATACGAGTGTCGAGCGTCGTTGGATCATTAGATAATAAAAATAAAAAATAAAAATTCATTCACGTACACTCTGGAGAAAAGAAATTTAAGAAAAGATTCTTAAAGGGAGAAATTGTGTATGACATTGATATTGTTGTTATGACACATTTATGAATTATACATACACACACACACACACACATATATATATATTTTATATGCGCGCATATACTTACGTATACACATAATATGTATGTATATACATATATATATCTCTGTGTGTGTGTGTGTGTGGGTGTGTGTGTGTGTGTCTGCTGTCTGTCTGTGTTGCGTAATGTATTTTTATTTGTGTACTATATAATAATAATAAATAACAAACGCAAGTAAATAGGATCAGAATTACGTCCCATATGAAGAAAAATATCAACATATGTAACATCACGGTTAATCTAAAAATGCTTTTATCTTCATTTCCTATTTGAAACAAATTGATACTCGAGTCTCTCGTATATATAGATAAATTTATGTAATTTTATCGCTTGTGCGAAATATAAATTATCAAAAAGCATCTAACGTACAATGTTTGTACTAATATGAAGAATTCTTCATTGAGCCGATAAAATAGATTTCTAATTAGACGCGCAGTATATACTGAACCGATAAAATTTATGAAATTTATTCTTAATATGCATAATTTGATATAAATAATTAGAAAAGCACATTACCATTTTTATACAAATTTGGTTGAATATAAGTTGGCGTTATTAACTTCACGAATATGTATGTATGTATAAAAAATGTATTGAAAAAAAAAAGAAAAAAAAAAGATATATATCTCTTCAAACGTTTTATTAATTCATACATTAATGATTTTTAAAGTAATGTATCAGGTCTTGCAAATTTTATTATCATTTCTCGGTATTGTTTTGTAACAAATTGTTTTGTATCAAAATTTTGAGCTTGAGATAAGTGACAATTGTTAAATCACATTTATAAGTAAATAAAAGTCGCTAAACATGCTAAACATTAAAAATTAAATTGGTAACTGAATAGAAAAAGATTGGCCGGTGGTTGTGCTAAAGAGATTAAATCTTTAAAAGTTCTTACTCTAATTTACTAGAATCTGGATATTATGCGCACAATGAAATACATAAATACACGAAAAATGCGATCCTTAAATTTAAATAATTCGGGATTTCGAGGTTTTATAATACAGTTAAAGATTTTTTCTACAAAAATTCTTTTACTAACTCTTATGTCCGCTGTGCTTACGTAACATAAGACATTTAAAATCCCACCATAAAATATGTAAAATATGTGCATATTGATATCAAAGGCGTTAACTATAATAAACACTTATCGAACATTTTCTATTCCATTGCCTAATATATTTTCAGTTCCATAAGTCTCTGCCCCCATTAACGAAGCACACTATTGCCGTGCCTATAAAGCACAAAACGATTTAAATATGTAAACAAGGAAGTTCGAAGGGGGAGTGCTTTTAATAGTGTAAAAATTGACCTCTGAAAAATATCGCCAGCTAAGCATCGGAAAAAGCGGACGCTCGTAAGTTCAGGGAAATGGAAAACTTTTAACGACTATAGCTATGCAGTGATGCCGTAGCCAGTGCGGCACGGAGAAGGTATTTCAAACTTCGAAAGCTCGCTATAAAGAGCGCGTAAGATCCTCCGGTCGGCTCCTCCGCCCCTCCAGCCCCAACACTCCTCGCCGCTATCTCGACCCCGAGCCCGCCCGACCATCAGAGATACAGAGCATCCCTCGGTGATCGGGAACAATACTCGTCTTAGCGAGAAAAATTGATAGACCACTTCCGACTGCGTCCTTTGGAAAAACGATTCCAATTTGGCGTGCCCGACTTTCATAGGCCCCTGAAATAATTGAGAGCTTGCGTCGAGAGTCTTTGGCTTTATTCGCAAGCATGCGTCTCCGATCGACGACAGCATTTTCTTTTATTTCGCTTATTAAATTTCTTTATGCCCCTCCCTTATCTTTTATGTATGTTCGTGCATGCGTGCTTGCAGCCAAGCGCGCATAAGTATCTGCGGAATTTGAAGAACAAGCGAAGCTTAATTTCAAGAAAGGCAATTTTACCTCAATACCCTACAATTTTTATTAATATAAATAGCGGGATATGAAAGTATGCGCGTGCCTAGATTTAAATTTCCTACAATTACCCTCTAACTGTTTTTACTAGTGCGAGGGCATGTTGCGTTATTACTATTGGACGGCTCTTGCTAGAAATTATATTATTATATTTATAAATCATTGACTAACGCTATTCGTCAACGCGCTATCAAGTAAAAGTTTTGTCGTTCCTCGATTAAATGCAAGCTATTTTTATGTTAATGTCCAATATTTAAATCTACATATAGAGATTTTATGTAACGAAGGCACGATCCACTTCATGTATCACCAGTTATGTTTTTTTTTTTTTATTTTTTTTTTTTTTTTATTCATTCATTTACAGCAATAAAACATTGACTGAATCGCTATACAATACGTGAGATGCCATCTGTACGACTCACAAAGAAATGCTTATAGTGACTTTTGCGATGCTTTTAAAAGAGAAGCTTCTGCTTCTTCTTCTTATTCTTCTTCTTCTTCTTCTTCTTATCGTCATTGTCCACCTTCTCTTATTCTTATAGATATTGTTTTTTATTGCCTTTTGTCTCTACGTATACGGGTTACCAACGACGAGATTCTAGTTTACCACTCAGCAATTTTACGAATCTAGGCACGATATCTAGCCGTACACAACGTCACGTGTATGAAGTCCTCAAAGATGCCATCCAAGCAGAACATTCCGCAGTTTTACGATGTAAACATCGAATTCGAGCAGAATGCAATATACTCGAGCTTGTAAGTCTACGGGCCATTCTACTTGCACCTCATCGTCGCAGACCATAAGTAAGTAGAGATTAAGTACGATTAGATACCACACCTAGGCTCATAAAACTGTGAAATACCGTACTTTAACCTCGTCATCAGCAATGTCCCGAGCGAATGCGGTCGACTCGATTTCACAGTACACTCAGGGGCTCATAATCGATTATTTGGCACCTTTTATGCATCGTAAAAGCCTGCCCCTTCCAATGAAATACCTAATTTTTTATTTTAAACCCTTTGCAATGTTGTCACATAATTACTGTGGAGATTTTTTTGTTTTTGTTTTTGTTTTTGTATTTTTTATTTTATTTTCTTACGTGCTATATTGAGACGGCGTTGATTGCGAAATTTTTATTTCATCCCGAAGTAGCGTATTATTATTTGTTATACGGTTGCGACACATTTGAACATAAACTTAAAACTAAAAGCTAATCGAGAAAGATTTTCTTTTATTTCCAAATTTTTACTTAAACATTATAAAAGAAAAGAAAAAAGAAAAAAAAAATTACAAAAATACATTATTAATTCTATGAAACGTCACAAGGACGAAGCTGC